CCCCCCCCCCCCCCCCCCCCCCCCCCCCCCCCCCCCCCCCCCCCCCCCCCCGCCCCCCCCCCCCCCAGATTTTAAAATTGTACTATAGTTTTTATTCATTTAGATTGTTCATGCATTAGATTTTCTTAAACAAAAACAAATAATACATCGTGATGTTAAGCCACAAAATATGTTAGTGAACAAAACCTGTATATTTAAATTATGTGATTTTGGAATATGCGGACAATTAAAAAATTCGGCAGTATCAACAAATATTGGTACAATAGCATATTATCCGGTAACAATCAGAGATGGGGCGCAAGTTCATCAGGCCCTTTGAAGATATGCAAGTAATAAATATCATAGAAGCTCACTTTCAGCGAAATAAATTCTAATTGAAAGGTAGTTCGACACAGTTTGATGTGTGCTATAAAAAGGCGTTTGAATCGATGATATGCTACGTCTGATTGTATAGATATTTCAGACGAAACCAAATAGACTTAGATCCGGATTCAGGTCCTTTTTCCGTATCTGTTTCGTTTCGCTGAAATGTCTATACAGCCAAACATAGCATATCATCGATTCAAACGCCTTTTTATAGCACACAACAAGCTGTGTCGAACTACCTTTCAATTAGAATTTATTACGCAGAAAGTGAGCTGCTATAACATGTATTATATGCATACCCTCAAAGGGTCTGCGATTTTAAATCATATGCACCAGGCAGCTTATGCCCAAAACTCTTATCTTTCTAGCCTGAAAGACTACAGTCAGAGCCAAAACCGTATGGTATCCGTTCAGATATGTGGGCACTTGGAATTAGTCTGGTAATAACAATAGAAAAGTTTGATTCGATGGATAACTACTGCATACATGTTTATCAATTATAGTTAGAAATAGCTTCTGGCACACATCCATTCGCAAATATGTCAGATTTTGAATTGTTCATGAAAATGCTAAACTGGGTACCAATTGTCCCAACGACAGTTTCAATAGAAATGACAAAATTAATAATACAATTGTATGTTAAGATATGTTTTATTTAGCTCAACTCTTGAAATATTGTGTTGACCTCATTTAAAATGATTTTTCGTCATAAATAGCGAAATAGCTCGTCTTTTAATTGCATTTACTTGTTATCTTTAGATTAGAGAAAAATCCCCAACTACGTCCACAATCCTACAATGAAATTCTTCAAATAAGTATTATTCATTCTGAATCAGTAGAACCGACCGCAGAAGAAATTGATTTCATAACAGAAGTGATATCATTTATATAATAATATTAAATAAATATTAATTGCAGAATAAATGTGTTTTGTGCAACAGATTTCAGGTTTTCTATTATACCGCAAGTGCGTGCCAAATTAATTAAAAAGTCACAATTTTCTTTAAATAAAAAAGAAAGTAAAGTTCATTAATCTGATTAGAGCAGCAAATATAAAGGTTAGACAAGCATAACTGGTGAATTGTAAGAATATGTTCCCTGTTCTGTCAACATTAATGGATAGTTTCATTGAGAATCTCTTACGTTTACATAAGGTTCATCGGATCAAGCTGACAATTTCACGTTATATATATATGTCTGCCCGTGCTGAGTCTAGACATGCACCGGTATTTAACGGTTAATAACTGTTCTTGATCATAACCGTTACTGTAAATAATCGCTTTATAACAGCAATATCGTTTAGTATGTTCTGGTTTTAGTTATTTGATGTTTTGTTTACATGACAAGAAGGCGGAGTAAATTTGCCGGACATTGTAATAGGCAACGGTTTAATACAGAAAAGCTTAATTAATACGGCTGTTTTGAACTCTTGCATTTTGATATTTTTGACCTATTTATTCGATCATTTTCAACATACTGGCATCAAAAACAGTAACACGATCTGTACATGGCTCTTGCGTTTCTCTGACATGGATTGAAAGCATGTAACACGTTTAAAGTAGGGTGTTTCCATTGGTAAAATACCACCACTGTATGAAAGGTATGGACGGAGAGCTACCTCATTAGATAGAAAATTCAATTCTGAACAAGAATATCCTATTTAAAAAAATTTTAAACATCGACGCGGGATGCAAAAATTGGTTGGAAGATTGTGGTTTTTCACGTTTTTATGAATTTTTGGAACTTAACTTTCTTGGTAAGCACCAAACCGATCGCGTTAAAACTTTTAGGCTATATACTAGAGATGAAAAGGAATGATAAGTTTTGTTACATCGAACCTCCGAAGTGCTCTGATTGTCTTCTATACTAATTTCAAGATGGCCGAAAAGTGCGAAAAGCGGTCATTTTAAAATCAAGTTTTTAGTATGAAGATGAACTCAAAATTCAAAAACAAGCAGTGCATCAGATTCCTTATCATTCGAGCTACAATAAAAAGTGATTTTCATGATCCCTTATATCCGCCTACTGAGAACCATCTTTGAAAGTGAAAATTTCTTCTTGAAAAAACGGTTCATCTGCAGAATTTAATCCTGAAGAAAATGATGTCACTTTGAAACCAAACAACGGAAACCTTTAGATTGTCCCGAATCAAAAACAAACAATAGCAAAGGTCGGCGAGAAAAGGGTCTTTTGAGTTCTTTTCTAATTTTTACTTGAAAAACTGTTCTTTTTCTAAACTTGCAAAATATCATGAGATGCACAATTTCACGCAGCATCTTTCAACATATTTCGAATTTCTGCAGAAATATTATTTAAAAATACTTTTAATTATTGTTTTGTTTTCTGACCGTCGCAGTTGTACGGCTTAGTGGCTGTTAACCTTTTCGATTTTTCGCCGACAGGAAAAACGTATTTGGAAAACAAAGCAGACAGTTTTGTAGAGCGAAACATTTTCTATCGAATGAGTCTAAAACGAGGTCTCCAACAGGTTGGGAAGTGCCGTAAAAGCGGAAAATTTTTTGTCCTGTTTATTGTGGGCCACCCGTTAAATCCTCAGCCCAAAAAACAAATTTTTTTCAAATATAAGACAATAAATAACTTAACGTTTGATTGAAATAAAAGGAAAAATGTTGCATTTCAGTTCAGTGGACATCTTAGCTGAAGCTATTATAAAAGTGACTTCGGGTGTAAAGGGAGGAAGCGAACTTCATTCACTTACTTTTTCATAATTATTTGCCCATTTTTCATTGTACATCTTATTGAAGCAAAAAAATGTAAACAGAAACTATTTGAGAAAAATCATGCATGATAGAAATGATATCTTTGCCTAAACTTCCTGATAGTATTAATATAACTTTCTCATTCTTAATATTTTTTATATAATCAATACCCTCATCTTTATTTTCAAATGCTTTTAAATAATTAATTATCCCACGTAGTACTGTCAGTATTTTTAGATTTTCATCTGCTTTATTAACATTAGTATCAAGTCAAACTAATGTAAATAATTTCAAATTTTGATCTGATTTGTTCTATGTCACTCGTGCACTATCTAATGCCAAATAATACAGAAGAAGAATAAAATCAACAAAGATCTTTGGATGTTTTTTTTATGTCAAAGCATGTCATATGAACACATGTTAACACCCATTTGCGAGTGAGAAGGATGAATACATAATAGCCGGTTCTCGGAGTGCAACTCATAATAATGCTTATTAGGATAAACATGGAAGACTCTCATAAGCCAGAATGGGTTACTCGGTTACCAGAGATGGGTAACTCCAGCAGGAGCTGAGAGGATTTTTGGTGGAGTTATGCAAAATGTATCAGAGTTAGACTGTATATTTGGGCAATATAGACGCTAACACAAATAAAAGATCAGCGGGCCCTACGGAGTTATATCAACAGTTATAGTGGTTGCTAGCAGAGTTGAAATCGGAGTTACCCATTGCTGTCGGGTACCCACTACCGGATGTTAGTGAATGACCCTCTCAGTCTTTTACTCCTGGACTGCTTTTCCAAAGATTGGTTGTCAAATTCTCTACAAGACGTGGAGAGAATATTTTTGCTCTAATAAGTTAACGAAAAGAATTAAACAAAGAAAATAAAACACGGATAAATGGACGAACTTTCAAAGCCAAAAAACCGTTTTTCAGATTTTTTCAATAGCTAGTGAAAAGCTCTATTGACTATGTAGTAACAAGTGAAAAAATTTCATTTCAATCTCTGAGAAATGCACCGATTTAATTCTCGCTGAGTTTCCAAAAAATTCAGCTGTTTGACTCAGTACTTGCACAGTTCCTCGGAAATCACATATTACTAAGGGAAAACCAGATTTTTTGAGCTCGCCTTCTTTTGTTTTGATGTAACATGACTACTGGACCATATTCAAATGCGCGAAACTTTACCTACAGTTTTCTTGTTACTTTCAGCAGGCGACATACAAGATTTTGCTGATTTTTGATGGAATTTTGAAAAGTTCGATTTGTCGACATTTACTTTGATTTGAACGAATTTTGAATTATATGAAGAGAAAGGGCAACTTCAAAATACTCAGAAAACATCTTCACTTTTAATCCGTTATCTATTTAATATATTCTTAGATCGCTAAAACAAAACGACTTTGAACGTTCGTCCGTTGATATGTATTGTGTTTTCTTTGTTTAATTCTTATCATTAACTTGCTACAGAAAAGCATTTGATACACGTCTTGTAAAGTAGTGGAACTTCGACTAAAGTTCCTGATTTTACTCGAGATTCGAATATGAATCCAAGCGTTATTGATCTTCGTTTAAATCCACCAGTTAAACCTTCATATGATAATGAATTTTTACTTTACAACGTCTTGATTATCTTACAAAAGAGGAGAGAGTACAGTACGATCTGTCCAGCTAACGGTCACCTCCACTTAAGATAGTTCGAAAGTGTTTTTTAACTTTAAGAATTTGTGAAGCACATCGTCTAACGTAGTTTTTGAAGCTGATTTCTAATATCAACTTAAAATTTCCAAAAACTTAAATTTAGATCTAAAAAATGAAATCCAAATTTTATTTTCAATTTCCTGACTTAGATATTTATTTAAAAAATTAAGAGATATGGTATTTTGTAGAGAATTCGATGGTGTATTTATTTTTGAGTTTAGGTGCTTTCCAAGAAAGTTGGTTTTTTGAAAGACCAAATTTTAAAACGGGTTTTTCTCCAAGTGAAAACGATTTCAAAACGTTTTTCTACAGTGCATCGGAAAGATCAGATCAGATACTGTCTACTGCTATCGGAAATATTTTTCTATGACGACTTTTGAAACAGAGTTTAACCTTCTGATTTGACACAACCAAAAAACGTCCGTAACGAAACGGAAGTCCGTAACGTTTTTGTTTTTGATGTATCTGTCAGACTAAACACTTTCAAGACAAATCTTTTTTTGTTTTATATAGGCTTAATTCTCAGCTACATTTGCTACGAAAAGGTTTTTTGAAAGGACCTCATTATTCGCTAAACTTATTATCCGTTTTTGCTCTGCTCTACATTTCACTTCTATTTTTTGTAAGTCTATAACGTTTAATATTATTTGTATAAAAACCGTGTCACTTGGCTGAAACCCACACTAGTTGGTTGCAAATAGAACTCACCGAGCGCTATCAGTTGACGCAAGAACGGTCCTCACAGCATCTTCCGTTACAGAAAAAATTGGTACGGACTAAAAAAAAGCGTAGGTCCGTAACGCCTGGACAGATCGAGTACTGTTATAAAGATCATGGTAATGGAATTTTACCAAAATTCACACACTTTGATTTTATTATTTAAACTTTCGAAAGCTTCTGCCTTCATCTTTAGGAAAAAACAAAATGACAAAACTATTGAGAAATAGGTTCAAAGTACATAAGAGAGACTGCTCCGTTGGGACTACTCCGTCTCAGGTATAAGTGACCAAAAAACAAAATTCTGATCAAGTCATTCGAAAGAGCATCAAAAACTATGTAAGAAAACGGTTGATTTAAAATTTTACGCAAAATATTTGACCCATTTTTTCGTCTGTTTGTTACAAACCCCATTCAAAGCACCCCCATTCTTACAAGTTTCCAACTTTTTATCATTTTCTTTCTGTTTTTCATGAAAATCAATAACAAATTCACAATTATATTTCAATGAATGAACCCTCTGGTTCTTTAGAAAAATATGACTGAAAAACCGAGTTTTCTGGAAATCCCACCACACCTCATTTCTAACGTTTTTCAACGACTCCATTGGATAGCTCGTTCAATTATCTACAAAATGAGATATCACCCATTTTCTGTATTGTTCTGTAAAATAATACCACAGAAAATACGATGGGGATCGGAAATTCCGTAATAAAGCAAGTTTTTGAAAATTGAATGAGACTAATGTTAAAAA